GTTCCTCCCACCTCTTTCCACTTTAGCAGAGTGAGCGCTGGAGAGGAGGTGACCTCCTCCCCAGCGTTCGCTCTTCCAAAGGGGAGAGAGGTGGGATGGTGCTTCCACTTCCCTCATGACCTGTCACCGACTATAGATAGAAATACAGCTGACAGTTTTTATTTCTGAAAAATTCATTTTGTAAAAAAAAAAAATGCCGTGATCCATTTTGAATTGGTTACCATTATTTTTTTTTTTCCGGTTCAGTTCCGGTTCAGCTCCAAGATGGCAGCGACGATTTTGGTTCGGTTCAATTCCGGTTTGGCTAAATATAACCGTGGGTTATGTACACGAAATGAAAAACGTCATAGGTAAGAAGAAATCACGCAAAACAAGAATGAAATTATCAGGCTTCCTCACTACGAAACATTTTTGACAACCATGTCGACTTTTCATTGTCATTTCATCAATGCAAAGACAAAATAAAAAACACACTTATTCGCAACAAAATGGGTCTTGGGAAGCAGAATTTCAAACTCGTGATTTCAAAGGTTTGCTTTCAAAATATGGCTAATGCTTCGTTACTTGCATTAAAATTTTTAATTTATTTTGAAATATTCTTTTTTCTTTTTGTGTTGGCGTATCTAAACAGATTTTTTTTTGTGCCTCAGTGGTAAAACCATTGGGTTTCTTTGTTTTCTTTCTTTCTTTTGTGCCTTTATGATGAGTCAAGTATTTATTGTGAATATAGAAGTTATCTCCTGAACATGACTTGACATTTTTTCCAATAACATTGGGCTCTATGTTTTTTTTTAAATATGCAAAGAAGCAACAATAAATATTTGTTTTGCATGTTTTAACATTTTTATTGTTTTTTCTTAGAGAAGTGTGTATATTTAGTTCAAACAAATGTGCCAAATGCTTTTCTTTCTCTCTTTATCTGTTTTGTTTTCTACGATTGTGTGTACTTACTGCAAACTACGGGGGATAGACACCTCAGTCAGGCAAAAATGCTGTTTGTCTCTGCCTGCCTACCGGGCTTGGCCCATGAAAATCCGAATAAACTTCAATTCAATTCAATTGACACGAGTATGATTTGTGGAATGAGGACAAGCGGGGGGGGGGGGGGGGCTACATGAGGAGGAAACGAGTTGATACGAAAAAGGCATGCATGCCTTGTTTTGGGCTGGCGTAAGGCCATAGTAGTGCGTGGAGATTATGCAAAAATACAATGTGTAGAGGACACATCCAGTGGTACTCTGTGTGAATTTCATGCACTTTGAATTAATAATTTCTGAGGAAAAGAGATGTGGGGCATTACTTTGTGGGTACTCCTCGTACATTGCACCAGGATATGAGATAGAAACGTTGCGAGGATATCTCCACTTGTATCTCCGCGTAAGGCACTTCCAGCTGTAAATATAGAAGCATTGATAGATTCCCAAGGGGAATGTGACTTGAGAGCCTTTTTTATTTTCCTTCTGGAAGTAACATATCAGCTATGGAAGATGTACTTCCACTTGTTCCAAGCTCAAAGGTTGTCAAATGGCTCTGATTTGCTGGATCCCGTTAACTTCACATAGCGCAGCAGGGCAATACCAGCTTAGAAATTCCATTTTTATCCCCAACCTTGATTTTGTAAAATGCACTTAGTAAAAAAATTTAAAAAATGTTTTACCGTAAAATACCGGGCAAGCGCCCACTCAAACTTTGGAGATACCGTAATCGCGAAAAAATGGGGGATGGGCACTTGTCCGGTCATGACTTTTACATATAAATGTACTGTACATATTTCCTCAGATCTAGCAAATTTGGTAATGGGCGCTTAATGTGGAATGGGTGGATGCGCGGTATTTTACGGTAAGGGGGCTGGAGGTTTTCAGAATTTGTCCTGGGTTCGGTGCCACAGAAAACCAAAAGCGTAGAATTACCATTGGTAGTGGTTTTAAAACGTTTAGTTAAAGTTCCCTTCTTGATGTGTTGGCACTGTCTTTTTGCAACTCCAGTAACCTACAGGTGTAGCCACTATCTGGCAAATAGCAAAATATGAATCAATGAACAGTTGAAGTAAAAAAAGTGACAATTAATAAAAAGCTTTACCTGCATATGACCGTAACCACTGTAGGAATTATATTGATAGCAATGCTTTGAGATGTATTAGTAAATAGCAGTGTGTACCTAGTAGAGGGCCGTTCCACCTGTTGTTGACTATTAAAGCAATGCTTTGAGATGTATTAGTAAATAGTAGTGTGTACCTAGTAGAGGCCCGCCCCACCGCTTCTTTTCTTATAATTTGTTTGATTAAACTCATGGAATGAGTTGAAACTGTAAAACTTCTGGTCGTTAGTTACCTGCTGCATCCTACGCACAAGCTTATTGGCTTATGTGGGTACCGAGTGAAATGTATTAAAAAGAGAAAATAAATTGTATTGTATTGTTTGAAACAGGTCATGCCGTGCCATGTGCCTGCTCAATGCACAACGCTCGGGTTTCAGCAGGCAAGCATTAAATTTAAAATGGTTCGCCCTGAATTTTATTTACTACGTTTCAAACCTGTGGCAATGTGTTTGCATAAGCGAGCTTCCAGAGGCTTGACCTCCTTCGGAAAAGCGACGAAAAGGAATGCCTACTGTCCTTCTACGGTGTTAATGATTATTGATAAGCGCACAATTTCTGGTTCATGTGGTTGCATAGGTTGCGTTCAGAGTGACATGGACAACACGCTGATGCGACGGTAGCAACAGAGTCACTGGGACCACTGTTCCATCATGCCAACTGCCTACAATGTGTAATCACGGAAGCCACAAAAGACGAGCAGAAATCACGACAGGACCTGTTCCGTTCAGTCCGTGTTTTCCTGCTAAGTGCCGTCCATTTTGCCTGAGTTGCGAATTGGCTATTGTGAATCTTTACAAGACTTAATGTTTTGGATTCCCCTTCACACTTCTCTTTCTTGTTGGTCCATATACTATAATGGAGCGCAAGCTCCTTTACCTTTTTTACCATTACTCACTGTTACTCACCCTGTATATTATAAGCATACCTCAACTCCTAGAATCCCTCCCCCTTTGTACATTTTCTAGACGATGCAGCCGGGGTTAAGTATTGCAAGACTTAGTGCTGCATAAAAAATGAGTCTCCTCACTCTCTGAATGGCTGATCTAGTCTTTGACAAATGCAGACAGATTGCATGGACACATATAATTCTTCCTGGTAGTGCCCCTTTGAAATTGCAATCCAAGGCCCCAGATGGTTGTAGGACAAAATGGCCCCTCGCAAAATGGTCCCGGCCAAAATGCGCCCGGACAAAATGGTTCCAAGCACAAACCCAGACAAAATGGTCCCAAACGATTTGTTGACACTGGGTGCTCTTCGAAGTTTTAGTTAACGCTACTCTGAAGCTGTATTCAACAGACATGTAATGCATATTTTATTGTATTTAAAGGGAAGATGGGGCACTTCTGCATTTGAGAAAAAACACTTGAATTCCATTCATTTGGCCTTTAGAATAACAGATATCACAATTATACTTCAATGCGACGCACCGGAGAGCCATAAGAGCAATTTCAAAATAGGGCTGAAGCCCTATCAACGGATAGGGTTGAAGCCCTATCCGTCGATGACGTCACGTACAGCGGCTGTCTTCCGCGTTTTCTCGCATTTAACAATACTTGCGCAGCAAATGGTTTGGGTATTCGGGTTAACGGGGTAAAAAATACACTAGAGTTTACTTCAAACTCATTTTTTTCAAGATTCTCCATAGCTTCTCTTTAAGGTTTTTGTTATGTTTTAGGAAACAGCTAAAGAAGTCCAAAAGTTAATTTAAGTTCTATTATCACTCAGTTGACTCTGTGGCTCCTATTCGCATAAGTCAGAGCACTGTACAAAGCTGAAGCTTGGAAGTCACTACACGAATACGCACGTGTACGCTATAAGCACAAGGTTGCGTTGCACTGTGCGATTGATTAGACTAGCCAATAATAACATGCACAAAAAAGTCGACGAATGCCATTAGTATGTATTGTCTTCAGCGCTGCTTGATTGGTTGTAATCAGCTCGTAGCGTCGGCTTGACTGTGACTTTAGTAAAACATAACATAGGTGCGGAAAAAAAATTTTAAGAAAATCCGACAGTACTTTTTTATAATTTCGAATTAGCACAATGTCGCTGCAAGAAAGCGTGTGCACATGATGATTCAGGTATTATCATGAACATACTACCGTAAAATACCGGGCAAGCGCCCACACAAAATTTAGAGATAGTCGCGAAAACAATTGGGGACGAGCGCTTGTCCAGTCATCAATTTTACATATAAATGTACTGTGCCTATTTTCTCAGATCTTAAAAATTTGGATATGGGCGCTTAATGTGGAATGGGTGGATGCACGGTATTCTACGGTACATATTTGTGATGGCATGTGTGTAGTCGTGTATTCCTACTGCGTGATGCACGTTATAGACCCCAGGCTAGCGGTGGTACTGCACTGGCACAATTTCTCGTCTACAGCATAAACCAAAGTCACCGCTCCCTCCTCAAAGGCAGACCGACCTTACACTGTACGAACACGAACCTAAAATGTATTTTGTTGTGATGGCATAGTATGGAACTACGTTTTTCTTTTGGTGTTGATTATATCAAATATTATAGACACATTATTTGATATATGTACTTGCATATTTCTATAGTATACTTTTCCCTTCTTCTCGGCTCACCTGCTGGCATGCCATGTGTTTTGAATTTAATATGAACTTTAAAATGGTTAGTGTTTCATAAGTATCCAGCAAAACATTTTTTTTTCTCTATGCTCAATTTTAAGTGCCAACGATCAACTAACCCCTGAAGAACAAGCAAACTATGTCTCAAAATTTGCTCGGGACCATTTTGTTCGGGTTTGCACTTGGGACCATTTTGTCTGGGGTCATTGTGACCGGGACCATTTTGTCTGGATCTCGGCCCAGATGCACCACTCATTACAACGATTTACAGTTTCCTGCTGAGCTCCTTGTCTTTTTTTATCCAGGGATGGGCAACCCTCAGTCCTGCAGCGCACGTTGGCAGCCGTCAAGACCTCGGTTATCTGCCACGCTTTCTTCACGCTGATGTTCATGACCAGCGGCCTCATCCTCAACGTCTTCCAGCTCCTGGTGTACCTGCTCGTGCGTCCATTCTCGCGGCATTTGTACCGGCGGATCAACTACTATCTCATCTACACTTCTTGGTCCCGTGAGTCTTCCTCCTTGTTACTACATTTTTCGTTGTGGAAGTCACATCTTTTTCCCTACTTTTTCGTTGGTACGTCCTTTACAATGGTGCAACATTTATGTATTTTTTAAAATTTTATTTGTATGGACCTTAACTGTGCGAAATGTAGGCCGTATCGACATCCGCGACAAAAGAGCTACGGCAGAGCACCCACCGATTGTGTGCTCCTACTTGTACAATGATGCGACTTATAGACTGGAAAATATTGTACATTCTTTGAAGGGTCAGCGGCGATGACACGGGGTTGTAATGGATAGCAAAGATTTTGTCTCCCCTCTTTTATACTCTGTCTGAATTGAATCTGACCCGATTACGGGGGCATCCTTTACAGCTGTGGTATGAGTGGAAAAATTAAGATATGCAGGTTAATAAACCATGTCAACCAGGTCAAATAAGAAAACTGACCAAAAAAAATATACTGGGTTTGGATTGTTAGGCTGGGACGATCACTGGTCACACGCGTTAGGAACTACGCCATCTCTTGCACATTCTTTGCAGAGTATTTAATCTGGCTTATGAATGATATGCGCAGAAGTTTAGCCCCTCGAAGTTAGTCTGAAGGCACACGACGTTGTTGGCATGTGATATGTGCCCTGTGTGTTCCAGAGGTCCCCTCTTGTTTATGCTACAACATGTGCACAGTTTTCTATGAGAGGCATTTGATTGGGTCATTGAATAGACCTAGCGCTGAACAACCCGATGACAGCATAGGATAGAAAATGAGCTGAGAATTGGGACGAGACACTTTGTGGGTGAAGTCACCAGCTCCTAACCTAATAGTTCACGTAACGTAAGTCTTAAATGGTGCTTTGATGCTCTTTGGGGCCTCAAGATGGTACTTTACACGTTCAGATAAGCAAACTGTATTAGGTAAACATGTCAAATAAGAACACCGCTATAAACAAACCAGTATAATAGATGTCATTCCTATTTGATCAGTGTAGCTCATTCATCCACATACTTCGACTACAGCTCATAAATATACAGTAGAACCTTGTTGATATGTTTTTCGGGAAATTGCAATAAATAATAACCAATCTTGTGTTTTGGGAGCTTTTATATAGGGTTCCGTGTTTTCGGCAGTTTATTTTTCTTCGAATTCAGGTGTGTTTTTCAGAGCTTATTTCCCCCCCCCACCCCCCCGCCCCCCAAGAATTAGTGTCTATTTTCGATTTTGGACAAAAAATTATGTTTATCAGGTTTTATGTTTAAAAGAACAAGACAGGGGCATGGGATTCCCCGACCTTGTGGGCACACGTGCATTACCCAGATATTTGGAAGACGTCCTGGTATTGATAAGAGATTGAAGGGAGATAAGGGGCATAGTTTCCTAAGAAGCAGCCTCTCGTACAGATCGGTACAGGCTGTGTTCCGGGTTAGCGCGATATAAGACTGTAGGTAAAAATTTCTTCTCGAGAAGCTAGTTTTTTTTTTTTTTTTTTTTTTTTTTTTTAAGGGACAGTTTTAATTTAGTGCTCTTCAGTTTTTTTTCTGTTTTGATACAACCGGCTCTGGAAATACTTTTAGGGGTTTATCAGTGTATGCCATAAACACAAAACCCTGTTCATGGATGAGGCAGGAAGATACTCTCGGGCAATCATTTATTTCGAGCAAATTTTCACGGCCGTGAAAACCTTTAGTATTTATTCCAACGCCAGCCGACGTTTTGTGGTGAGCTGTTACTTAAAATTGGGGGTTGATCTCTACTCATAACCAAAGAACGTCGACCTGTAGGAGTGAGCAAAACTTCCGAGCTGATCAAGCTAACCCAGATGTGCTGCTCTGCGTCAGTCGCCACTCCTAGTGTGCCAGTGCAAAGCGGCGAAGCTCAACACAATCTTCGGTGCAAATCGATGATGCTAACTCGTGTGTGCAGCATGAGCACGCTGCTCACTGTGGCACGGGTATGAACTCCACACGAAGCAAAGCTAGCACAGCTGGGGAAACCAAGCTCCTGAGCACTGCAGGAAGAACATGTGCATGCTGGAGAAAAAGATGGAAAGATGTACAAATTGTTGGGAAAACCTCGACCCCTCCCAAGCTTTTTTTGTGGACATGCCTGCCAGGGCAAGAACGGACAAGGAGCATGTCGCAGGTAGGGAAACAGGTGAAAAAGAGGGGAGCGGAGCAAAACGAAGAGGATGGCCCAAGGTAACAGCCGGGTAGGTTAACGCAACAAACAGGAAATTAATATACTCGTATTTGTACGGGTGTGCAATGGGAAACTGGAATGCATTTGTGAACTTGCCAGTCGGGAAAAGGCAGTAACCGAGCGCCTATTAATGAGGTTCTGTTGTGTGTGTGTATGACTCCTTTTCCATTTCTTCGTTGGGTAATAAGAGAAAAGAGCATAATAGATGAAACAAGGCATCATACATGTTGTAGGCTTTGGTATTTCAATATAGTTTCTGCAAAACCTCTGAGGTCCCTCTATCTTGTTCTTTCATACGGGTAGTAGACTTTTGGCTCAGAGTGATGGAACTCTTCCCTGCATCCGTTGTACAGCCCAGTACAGACTAAGGGGGGCCGACGTTATGATCTGCTCTTGCTGCAGAGGTGGTGGCCTTGGCCCAGTGGTGGTCCGGTAGCCGCCTGAGGGTTTGGGGCACGGACGAGGACCTCGAGGCGCTCCTGGCGGACCACCACCTCTGTGTCATGAACCACAGCTACGAAGTGGACTGGCTGGCCTGCTGGATGGTGACCGACCAGTTTGGAGTCCTTGCGGTACGCCCCATCCCATCCCAATCGTTGCGCCTTGAGAATGGTCCTTTTTAGAAACGCAGTCTGGCAGCTTTGGTCACTATCATCATCTCGGTGTATGGCATCTATGCCAAACTAATGGCAGCCTCCTGGAGGCTGATGAAGGAAGAAGTTGAAGATACAGTGGAACCTGATTAATTTGAGCCCAATGGGGACCAAATCTTTGTTTGAATAAAGCAAAGTTTGAATCTAGAAGCATGGGATGGGACCTGCATGTTAGTTTGAATTATCCGTGAGTTCAAATTGTAAGAGTTTGAATTAACGAGATTACACTGTACTAGCAAGTAAATTATATGTAAGGCCTGTACGTTCGAGATGTCAGTACAGCACGGCAGACAAATGAAATACAACAGCTTTGGAAGCGTTTATTTCAGAGTGTGGTCCAGTCAATCTTGTGGCACAAGTTTGGCTCTAGAGCCTTTCGATGGCAGAAATTTAATCGAGGGGCTTATCGGGTCGCCTCTTTGTACTGGTCAGTTCTCATGGTCACGTTGTCGAAACTGAAACAAACCACGAAAGAATTATGAGGGGATCGAAGAACCAATCCTCACCCTCCATCAAAGTGTGAAAATGACGGTGCTTGATTAAATACAGTTTCATGACCACCTTTAGTTTGTCACGAAACTGCTTTTTAGCCTCCAGATGGCACTGCATTTTGAAAGGGTCTGTTGACGGGAAAGTTCACCGCACCTTTCCTGAGGGTTCAATCCCCACCCCACCTTGTTTCGATCTGGATGAGCATAGTATCGGTGTGCGGTCGTGAATCACAACTGTATGATGCACATTCAAGATTCCAGGCTTGTGGTGGTGTTGCACTGGCTAAATTTCTCATCTACAGCGGAGACACCAGGCACCCACTGGGTCTGACTGACCTCCCCCTGTTTAAACATACACACAACAAAATTACTTTTTTTACTGTGCCTTCTTTACGGTTCCCACCATGAATAATTGGGAGGGGGGGGACATTATGGACAGAATTTCTACACCAATTGCCCAATCCTATAATAAACGACTCCTCTTGCATCAACCTTGTCCTGATAGAAAAGCGAAATGCAGGTGAAATGGTGGCAAGCAGTTGAAATTATTATTTTGTGTGGACATTGTCAGACCACCTATTTGAGTTTCTGTCGGGTATATCAACATCTATGAATCTGGGTCATCTCGAGAGTGTGGTAAAGAAGGTGCTGTCATGTATTGGGGAAAACTGTAAGTGCCAAACACTGCTTTTAAGCCTTCAGTATTATCTATGCAAAAGTGGCTATAGGAAGGCAAATCAGCAGCGCCAGTCAAAATTTGTGAAATGCCCAACTGGTGAAGTTTGAAATGCATGCATCTGTGTATCAATATTTTGAAATTGAATACATTATAAAGTAGCGTCTATTGAAACTAGTTAAATAGAGGACACTCCACAGACCTCTTACCATTTGAATTCTTTGCAATTTAACCTGTGAGCAACATTATTTTTGAAGAAATATTTGATTTGGTATTTTTACCTGTTGAAGTTGGTAAACTTCAACAGGTAAAAACGTTTGTGTTGGGCATTTTGTTCTTGAGTCCAGATCGAGTAGCCCTCTAAAGTTCAACAAGCTAAAACCAGCCAGGAAGGTGCAGGTTTTAGAAAAGGAATAAATATTTTTCAGTTGCTTTTATGGGGTAGTATATATGCAGGGCTAATCGCACTTGTCTATAACGCAGGAGTGTGCAGCTCTCTTCGGCGAGCGTTAGACTGGTGTCATTCGCGGCAACTAATCTAGTCACGTCGGCAACATGGAATGGTACACTTGAGGGGTGTCCTAACCTCTCCATTGGTTCGACGCGGGAGGCTGCTCACACATCTTCACGTCTGCCTTGGTTCGCATATCGGCTGTGCGCTATCGTATGCATATCAACAGCTCGCTTTTCGCCGCATGTTTATTTTCTTGATGCTGATATTGTTGATAAGTTCTGATGTTTTATTTTTGTTTTCTGTTGCTATGGCTATCTGGACATTTGCAAAGAGCCCGCGAGCAGCCTTCCACACATTTAGCAGCAGGCCACATTGAATGGGCAGGACCCCTCGAGCGGATTGTTCCGTATTACCCATGTGACTAGAATAGCTATTGAGAATGTCGCTAGCCTAGCGCTTGACAAAGAAAGCGTTCTTCCATGCTATAGACAAGTGTGATTAGCACTATATTTGAGCTTTGCAACATTTCACAGAATTCCCATTTGTTTGTATAATTAATTTAAAGCTTTATGCTCTAAAATGTTGCTCTGTTGTTGGAATGTTGTGAAGTTGCTGTAGTATTTGTGCACTTTTTCTTCAACAATGTTTTGTACACTTTCTAATTCCTGTAATGTTTTTCTTAGACATTTATGATGTGCTCACTAAGTACTGCAAGGCACAGATTTTAGGGCTTTAAAGCAACTCCAAAATGCTGTTCTCATCTTTTTGCACAATTATTACGAAACTAGTCCAGAGAGTTCCATTCTCAAGGAAGTAAATTAAAATGTTCCGACCTACATTTTATTACTGAATAATAAAGGGCTTCGAAACTATATTTGTTCCAAGCTGGTGTGGCTGGTTGTGGGAGTTCCTCTTAAACAGAAAAAAGGCTGCTACCTTCATTGATTGCCCCTTGCGTGATTTTTTTCTCAGAATTTTCTGGCTGTCTTTTTCATTAGATTTGATGCTTGTATAAACAGCCTCTTTCCACCTTTTTTTTTTTATTTAGAAGCCTCTGGACAATCGTTTCATTCACTACTAAAAAGACATTGACCCAGCTTTTCAAATGGGACTCGTGTGAATCAATATTTGTCTGCCAAGTTCAGGTTCAATCTTCTTGACAATTGTGTGGGACTTAGCTCACTTTGAAGTCAAAGTGCTTTTTTTCTTTGGAATACTATTTACTACATATCTTGTATGGTGATGTTGTCCTGACAGCTGCATTCGGGTTGCCACTTTCAGAATGCAAAGACATTTGCAAAGAAGTCCCTCCAGTGGGTGCCCATTATTGGCTGGAACTGGGCACTCTCCGAGCACATCTTCCTCGAGAGGAGCTGGGAAAAGGACTCCCAGACGATTGGGGGCAAGCTGGACCTTCTTCTTGACTACAAGGACAAGATTCTTGTAAGGAGTTAACAATAATAATAATAATAGCAATAATAAGGTTTATTAAAAAAAACATATAAGCAATATTGATCTACCTGCAAAAATAAGATAGATCTTACATTCACATACAGTGCCACTGAAACTTAATTCCAACTGTTGGGTTTTATTGTTCATCTTTCTATGCTCATTTCATTGGGGCCTGCAAATCAATTTCAACATTCTGTTATCTCTACTGATATGAGCCTCTTATGGTGCAGCCTGCTCCAGAGTGCAAGCCCCAGAGATAAGCAAAAGCCCCATAGATAACTATAAGCCCCAGAGACATACTTTCTTTACAGTTAGTAGCAAGCCTTCCATCGTACTAGGGTGCGCTGTTGCGACATGCCTGTGTGGCTATAGCATATCCTCGTTGAGATGTTTTTTCCTCTTTTGCCTAAATGCTAGTTTCATTTGCAAGACAATATTTCGTTTGTTGTGTTTGCCTTCTCAGTTGTTCCATCCAAAAACTGGCACTTGGCTCAGCTGACTTGGCACATTTTGCCTCCTGGCCGCAGTGGGCATTACCTTGGACCGGGCCTAAAAATGGATTCAAGCTTTTGCAATCGCCCATTTGTCTTTCCATCTCTTTCTCCAGAGATGTACCAATTGATGCGCCATTTGTGCCAAACTGCACCAAAATACTTACCCTGCTACATGCTGCCACATTTAACCAAACTGTGAGGAATTCGCACTAACGTTGCACCAAAACTTTCACCTCAATGATACTAAAATTATGCTAGCTCATGCCTCGCTACCCGGCCGGATCATAATGACAGGCTTATGTGAGTTTTCAGAACTTTTGGTTATCACAGCAAATAACATACTCTTGGACTGCATTTTATATAAAAGACTGACATTAGTCAGAAATTTCGCATTAATTCTCATGTTCATGGTCTGTTCTGATGGGTTAGTTAGTTTCCTTGAGCACGTTTCTCACTGCGCATGGGCGTACTGCAGAGAAGCGACAACCGCAAAGTAGGCATCGCGATTTTGCCTGTCTTGCTTTGGCGGAGTATGCCTGCATGCTAAGGGGATAGCGCTCCTCCAGAGCGAGATGCGACGCAATTTCTGAATACAACTGCGGCTTGTATGTATGATAGACTGCGATATCCTGGCGGTACATTTCTTTCGATTCGAGATTTAGCAAGGATACTTCGGCATTGCAAGAAGATTTATATGCACTCTTCTGTAGGTTCATTTTTTATGCCAGCTATTTTGTTTAATTATCACTTTTATATAGGTGTGAGTAACTTAAAACTAAATTGGCAAGAGCAATGGATGGAAGCTTTGGAAAAACCTTAGCAAGTTCGTTGAGAATGTTTTTAACCCTTTGAATGTCGAGGTTTCTTTCTCAAGGGGTGTTTCCCCACTAGCCGGGTTTTGTTTATAAACAAATAGTGTAAAGAAAGGGCAATGCATACATTTTTTTTCTTAAAAAAGACATAAGCCAAAATATTAAAATGTTTTGAAAAAATGCATTTTTTAATTTTGGGGTTTTCAGTTTTAGAAACTAATTTACACCCTTACACTAAATTTGATAACCATATGCCAAATAGTTATGTTGATATAAAATATTTTCAAAACACTGTGAGGCAGTAACAAAGTAAAGGAGTTCAATGTCTGAATGCATTTTTCTCAGTTCCACTTTTTGTTGCAAATTTCATACGAAGGAATCTTTTGTTCCAAGGTAAAAGTATTCTGATACCACAATCAAGATGTTTCTGAACTGAAATTTACTGGGGAATTAGGCTACCTACTTTATTTTGTTTTAAGTTGAAGTCCTCATTGAGAAAAAAACTATGTTTTAAAAAATTGACATAGGACTGATATGCATCTCATAGTTTGAGGTAATGACTCTTCCTGAAATATTCACATTTGAGTTACGAAAACTAGATAGCCCAAAGTCCTACACCCCCAGTTTATATTCAAGCAGTCAAAATGGTGCTAAATAGCTTCATTTGCATATCATAGATTTCTTAACAAATAGTGTCATATCTTCTTATGCAGGTGTGTAGAATTGTCCTAGAGAGCTGAAAGCTTGCACAATACACCTACGTCTGATGTTAAATCTCCCCTGAAAATTTCATTCCGGTCACTTGACTAGTTAAGAAGTTAAACCACTAGCCAGTGTCCCCCCTTAATAAATCTAGCGGGAACATGTACAGTTCTTGCCAGCTGTTTAAGTTTAGAAGCATCAAATGAAAATGTTGAAGGTGAAAAGTTGTCACCATTCTTCCATTCGGTTTCAATTCCTTGCATCTGCTTCCGGGACATTGCAGCAGCTTCAGATTCCCAACCGAAGGTACTTCACAGTGCTTGTTTATCAGATGATGAGCTATCATCTTTTGAATTTAATTCCAAAAAGCTTTGGAAGTCTGAATCGGAAGAGCCAGTGCTCCCATTGGTACCACCACCAGAGCGGCCAGTATAAGAAGTGAGCATCGCGTGCGTGGAGTGTATAATTTGAAAGCTATAAATAGTCCAGCAAAGCGAAAAGCCTTGTGAATACAACACTTTATAGTTTGCCAAAACATAATAAATAGCAAGACCTTCCGCGGTGTGCGCAGTTACGCGTTTAGGCGGGCACTTCCAAATGTGTAATCACTGCCAAACATGTATGGTGACAACCTTTAAAGGTTTAGGAAGGCATATTAATTGTCCACATGCCAATTTTCATTATGAAGTTTTACATATAAAATGTAATTGACATTCACAATCAAATCAAAAGTGCTTTGTTTTTTATCTGCACTATAAATTTCAGCTTTATTAAAATCTCTAGAACTTGAAGGAAACATCAGTTTTCGTGCTCAAAATTATTGTATTCTAACATTATTTCAATGGGATTATGTACCTAAAATAACCATCCAAAGGAGTTCATGCTGTCCCTCATCAGTTATCTTATTGCCACATATGGTTCCTCTCCATGCAACTGAATGCTAGTTTCGTGTTTGAGGGAATCACTTCTGCTGTGCAATCAATGCTAACAAAGAGTTGCACATAAGTGAGAAGGCAAAGTAGACATTGCCTTTTAGTTAGACAGGCTGACACATTATTTTTAACGTAATATTTGCAGTGGTACGAATGAAAATGTGTTGGCTAATGCTTAAAAAGGTGTTTTTTCTGCTCTAAAATTGACTTTTGACTGCTCCAGAGCTGCTCCAAAATGACTCGGACCAATCACATCACTTCTTTTCCTGATGCGCTCGCATGCTTCTGTTGTGCTTGGTTACCCAGGTTCTGCTGGTTTCATTTCATGTGCAGTGCGGAGTTCGTAATCGTGCACCGCATGCTCATCAAGCTTCACCGGTTTAGATTGATGCATACCTCGAGCTGCCCTGCTTTGCACCGTGATGCTAGGGACAGCGGTCGTTAAGGTGGGGTGTCTGCGTTAGCTCCATTGGATCAGAAATTTTTTTCTCACTCTTATGGGCTGACATTCTTTAGTGATGATAATGTAGGTATATACCTTTGATCTTTAACAGTGATGTGATTGCTGCGCCTTTTGCGCCACACTGCGCCGAAGTGCTTACCCTGCTACATCCTGCTACATTTTACCAAAATGTGAGAAATTTGCGCCAATGTTGCTCCAAAACCTAATTTCACTTTAATGATACTGAAAATATTATAGCTCAGGCCTCGCTGCTCGGCCGGACCGTTACGATATGCTTATGCTATTTCTCAGAACTTTTGGCTCCTGTCTGAAATAAAGTACTATTCGATCGCATTTCGTATGAAAGGATGACAGTACTCGGAAGTTTCGCAATAATTCTCATGTTCGTCGTCTGTTCTGCTGGAGGATTAGTTAGTCTCGTTGAGTGCGCTTCTCCTTGCGCACTGGTGTACTGAAGAGAAGAGAAAACCGCAGTGCAATCGTGGCGATTTCGCGTGTCTTGCTTCGCCGCAGCACACCACCCTGCTAAGGGGAAAGCACTCCTCCAGAGCGAGACGCGACACAATTCCTGAATACAACTTTGGCTCGTATGTATGGTAGACTACGATATCCTGGCGGTACCTTTTTCCAATTCGAGATTTAGCGAGGATACTTTGGTATTGCAGGAAAATTTATATGCGCTCTTTCGTATGTTTATTTATTTATGCCAACTCATTTGTTTAGCTTTCACTTTTATATAGATGTGAGTAAATGAGAACCAAGTTGGCAGCAGCGGATGGAAGCTCGGGAACAAGCTTAATGAGTTCGGCGGGATTGCTTTTAAGTTTTGTTCACATACCGTTTTTGTTATGAAGTTCTACACATAAAATGTAATTGACGTTCATAATCAAATGCCAAGTGCTTTGTTTTTTATCTGAATTATAAATTGCTGTTTTGTTACAACGTTCAGAACTCGAGGGAACCATTAATTTATGGGCTCTATATTATTGTATTTTTTCAGTGAGATTCAGTACCTAAAATAACCATTCACATTTGTTTGTGCTGTCCTTCTTCACTCACCTTCTCAGCCACCTCGGTGGCTTCGAGGCGAGAGCGTCGGCCTACGGATCCCCATGTGGCGGGTTTGAATCCTGGCCAAGGTGCCCGCAATCTGACGGAGGCTAATTGCGGAGAAGACGCCGTGTAACCGAGCTTTCGGTTGCACGTCAAAAGATCCCCAGGTGGTCGAAATTAATCCTCAGTCCTCCACTGGGGCGTGCCAGATGCCTGCCGTTGGTTTGGCACGTAAAACCCCCAAATTTGACTTTGTCACTCACCTTCTCACCCTGTCTGGTGCTTCTCCATGCAACTAAACGCTAGTTTTGTGTTTGAGGGACTCACTCCTGCTGTTCAATTGATGTGAACTAAGGGTTCACATCAATTGAACCAATTAGAAGGCAATGTGGACATTGCCTTTTAATTGGACGTGCCGGCACATTAATCTTAGCATAATGTCTGCATTGATAGGAACAAAAATGATGCTACAAAGGTTATTTTGGCTGCTTCAAAATTTACGTTCGGCTGCTCCGAGAGCTGCTCCAAAATTACT